GACGGGCGTTTTGATGATTATCATTAGCCCTTTAGTTGACTTCAGGCTTCACAGAGGGGAAGGAACATCAAAGTGAAAAAAAGTCAAGAGGGGGGGGGGAACAGAAGAGTGTTTCAAAGATGCAAAAGAGAAAGAGAGACACAAAGGTAGAAAAAAGGTGAGATGAGTATTGTTGAAACGGTCGAATTAGACATACAGTGGGGTGATGGTAGTTTGAAGTGAGAAGTCAACTCCCGGTTAATAGACTTTTTTGCCGTATGAGTATACGTTGCCCAGGGTGCACTACGTGGAGGTAAGTCTATCGCATACCCCATTAAAATAAGCATAAAATGGACAATTATCTGGGCTATTATTTAGTAATGAGGGAATGGTAAATGTTCAATATGGGGTAAAATAGTTAGTCAACTTGTAGGCGCTATACCATGACACATTTGACGTTTCTGTCATCGCGTCCTTGTCCTCGGCATCGACCTTGAAATTGCATAAAGTGAATACTTTCAAAAAATCTAATACGCCACAATAATAACTTCTGTGTGATAATCCTGATTCATAAAATAACACTTTTCTTGCTTGTCTATCGTCTGAAAAGAACATTATTCAAACTGGTTTTTCCCACTCTCTTTTGCAATTACTCAGCCTGAAATGCTGCTAATCACGTAAATTCCTTTCGACTGATTGTAACTTGAGTTATATAAAATCTATTTACTTTGAAGTTCTTTCTTTATGATGTTAAGAAAGCACTAGAAATAGGAAAATCAAGACTTAATGCTCATGATAATTAAGGATTCAATACATCGTAGACCTTTTAATTGTATTACTTATAACCGAAGGAGTTTAGAGGGGGGGGGACGTTAAGAAATCAGGGCAAACTAATGAAAATTCAGACATGCTTCTTTTAAGCTGCAGATTTGATTATTATCCGTCTTGCTTAATTTATTCTCGTATCCTCTAACCTTTGGTAGCATTTTCGGGCTTCACTCAATTTAAATCCAACAACTTGATGCATTTTCGCCGTCTTCTCTTCTCAACTTATTTTTTGCTTTAAATTTTCAAGACAAGGAAGCCTGGTCGTAGCCCATCTGTTAATTTTGGTCAGGCCGTCAAGTGTCTTTTCACCAAACATCCATTTCGACAAAATCGATGAAACCTTAACTCAAGTGTTCATTTACCATCCTAATAAGTAAATTCTGCTTACTAACTTGTGTCTAAATCGTAAGCAACTAGTTAAATTTACGAATATAATGCATAATGAAGTTGGGAAATCGAAAAAAACATGTAAAAATCGAACGAGAGAGAGAGTGTGTGTGTGTAATTTCAGCAGAAATTTTCTCCCTTTACTTGGGGACTTCCATTTGCAGTTTGAATTCAAATGACCAAGTTGGTTCATTTTAAAAGTGTGTTTTACTTTTTGAATTTAAAAAGAAGGTCAATTCAAATAGATAAAGCGAAAGAACAAACGAGGGTAGGCCCAATGCTAAGTTGACATTTGTTAGCTTATAAATCTTCTCCAAGTGTCCTCGCCTCCTTTCCTGAGAGAGAACAAGACCCAAATACTGGATGAGGTATTAAAAAGCATTTACTGATGGCTTTTATTTCTCCATTGGCCACCCGCTCCGCCTACAATCCACCCCCACCCCCACCCCAGCCCACACCCTCCCGGCTAAAACACTTCAATTCCCCCCCCCCATCGGCCCAACCTCATGCGGGGTGTGCGCGGACCAGCAAGTCGTCGGCAGGTTTAAATTGAAAACAGCTTTATTATTTTGGTTTTTTGGTCATGATGTTAAGTAGTAAATAAGACAGGTGGGACAAGCCGGTCATCTTCAAACGGTAACCCCGCTGTCACTAACATAGTGCTCCTCTATGTGCGGCTGTTAATTGCAACAGAAGTACTCAGGCGTAGGACATATTTTCCAATAATATATATATATATTTATTTATATCAAATGGCAGGCGTCTTGATGGTTATCATTAGCCCTTTAGTTGACTTCAGTCTTCACATAGGGGAAGGAACATCAAAGTGGGAAAAAAAGTCGAGAGGGGGGAACAGAAGAGTGC